AATAAGCAGTGATTTCATTGTAATTTTTGACGAAATTGGTTTATTCCGATTCAGATTTATTCCGACCAGAATTTTACTTTATGAGTTAATAACCGATTCGTTCTTATAATGTTAAATATGTAAGGAATTTTTGATATACTATGGACCAGTGTTGGAAATCATATGTTCACAGTGTTCAAAAGAACATAAATTTTTAAAAAAATCAAAATTTGTTTTTATTTTATGTTTATATTTGTGAATACAGTATAAGTAATTTTTTTATCTAATTAATAAAATTTATTTATGATTATTATTTTTTATTTAATGTGAACATGATAAAAAACAATGTTAACAAAAATTATCATACTGTCATGAATTTCCAACATTGCCCATGGACTTATATTTTGGATCGGCAGCTTGGGATTTTCTTGACATAAGTGCTGCAGAGGAAAAACCTGTAATTGTGAGTTTTCCGAAATCAATTTTATAGAACCGACTTATCAAAAACATGATTCATCAAATAGAGTTTATTATAGAATTTATTATAATTCATCAGGAATCTGATCACTGTTTCTGAAAAGCGAAGCCGGCAAAACCCTAAATTGCAGGTTTTCGTTTTGCACTCTGTTACGACAAAGAAGAGACTTTCCAATCGTAATGCCAATTTAATTGCTAGTCCTAAGCATTAAATATTTATTAATAGCGAACAAGTAACAATAGAGCTAAAGTATTTTTTATTTATTTCGATTGAACAAAAGAAAAATCTACCTCTATTTAGTTATGCTACTAGACTCAAATTGACTAAGAAAATCATTACGCATAAATGAGGTAATTATGTTAACAATGCGAAAGTGTAATAATGTTAACAATGCGAAAGTGTAATAATAGATACGTACTAAAGTATGTGCGAAAATTTAATAAAGTAACACTGATGATCATTTCGTATGCATAAAAAAAATGTGTTAATAAAGTAAAAATGACAATCAGGTGCAACGTAACACGAACAGGAAAATTCAAAACGAACGTTCGTTTTGTCAAAAATCGCTTATTTCTTGAAAAATTGCATATAAAACTAGTCTTCGCTAACTATCAAAAAGTTTTCCTTGAGTAATTTTACTATATATTCTCCTAACCTCTAATCGTAATAAAAGCCCTAACCTTAACAAACTTCAAAAAAATTTGATTGCGCCACAAACTTGGCACACATTCAAGAATTGCTGGTACTAAAGCTAGTTACGACATTTTAATCAAATAAGAAATATATCATGCTCAGGTGAAGAAAATGTTGGAAATAAATCTATGTCTGGAGGTGAAGTTGTAATAAATTTATCTTCGACTAAATTATTGATTAATGTTTTTGAGGTTATATGCTATTAAATTATTTACCAATAATAGTTCTTCAAGAAATTTATAAATTTTTGGCTATTGAGACAGTTAATGTTTGAATTCAAGAATAAGAATACGAAAAGATTCGAAAAAAATCCAATCTGGTCGAATTTGGTAAAGTATGTAAAAAGATGAGTTTCAATGATGTCGTTGTGTCGAATTTATATCGTACAAACACGGCAAAGAATCAAGCGAAAGAACTTGGGATTTTGTTTAAATTGTAATCTAGTATGTAAACCTCTATCATTGTGCTAGAACAATGTATAGCTAAATATTTTAGCTTATTTATAAGACTCAATATTTTCTAAATATTCGAAGATAAAAAAAAAAAAAAGAGTTATAAATATTATGAAAAGGCAATTTCTATTTGTACATTATGTGCATGTTGTAACAGATTGGGATTATTAATCTCACTGAGGATAATTATTGAATGGGATAATCGTTAAAAGAATATACGGGATTGACTATGATCTTTCAGAAGCTTGTGAGATAGCGCTGTGCCAGATCCAAGCAACCCAACAGAAACAGAAGGAACGATATGATCCATGGTATTACGATAAAGCCAGATCGTAATCATTGATATGTTGAAATGTAATAAGCTATAAAAGGTACAATACAATTATGGAAAGAAAAGGCTACCGAAGGATGTCAAAAAGAACTAAAAGCGATCTACCTTTATTAGCAATTATTAACCCTTTATATAGTTTTTCTATTAGTAAAAAAAATCATTACGAAAAATGAAGTCAGTTTTTAACTTAGTAATGTGCGGAAGTTCAATAAAGTAACTATGAAAATCATTACGTATTTACATTATGAAAGAAAAAAAGTGTATTTTATTGTAACAACGGGTATGCTGATATCTCAAAACCGGGTACCCTTATGTCAAGCAAAAATCGTCCCTTCTGATCAAAGTACTTAGGGTGGAGTATCTCAAATGTCCGATGTGAAAAAGTAACCAATTTTGTTTTCACTATTACACGAGTTCCTAAAATTTTGGTGGTTTCGGATTTCAAAAAAGGCAAAAATTATTATATAGTACATAATATATCGGCGAATGATTTTCGTACATCAAATTCGTATACATCAATTTTTTTTGACCAATAAAATTGCAGTGTCATTTTTCATATACAAAATTCGATAATAATTTGCGTACATCAGTTTCGTAATATATGCGTATATCAAAATTAATTAATTGATTAATTAAATTGATTAAATTCTTAATATTATTACATTATTATACTTTAGTATTTCATTGACAAACTTTGCGTTGACCTTTCACTTTTCGTTGCTTACTTACCAATTCATTCATGTTAAAATTTTCATTTTTACTTTGGTATTTCGTGACACTTAATCATTGATCTTTCACATTTCGTTGCTCTACTACACTTGTCACGTTATTTTTATTTTTATACTCTTTTTTCGTATATTCTTTCACTTTGGTATTTCGTTAGCACACTTTATTGGTGATCTTTCGCTTTTTGTCACCTCATTATACTTGTTTATCTATTCACGTTTTTTTTGTTAATATATCATTCATTGGCCCTTATCGCTAGTTATCATTCTGATTTCTCAGTTTATATTGTTTTTTTTTTAAATATGAATACTAATACCATTACAGTTCCTAAAGCAGAGTTCGATTTTTCAACTTTTGAAAAAGCTCGTGCATTCATAGAAAACTATGCTGCACAGACCAATATCGTTGTAATTTTGGTGAAAACAACTAAAAATAAAGATGGTAGCAGCTATAGACAAGCTTTTTTTGCTTGTAAAAAACAGGGGCAGTATAATGGTAAAAAAGAAGATGCATATACCACTAAGTGGACAGGTTGCCTGTTTGTTGTTGGGTTAAATTATTGCAAGCGTATAAAAAAATTCGTCATAACAAAATTATGCTCGGAGCATAATCATGAAATTAATCCAGATTCTAGAAAGTTTAGCAGCAACATACGTAAATTTAGTCTAAATGAACTAGGCATGATTGGAGAGCTTCATGATAATAGACTTCGAATAAAAGACATATATGTAGTTTTAGCTTCTATTAGCTCAAAGTATGTACATAAACATGATATCTATAATGCTATTAGTCGTCAATGCCAACAAAAGTTGCAAGGGTTAAATGAAATCGAGTTGTTGCTCAAGACTTTGCAAAATGATGAAAACATTATGTCAAGCATAGCAACTCAACCTGTATATAATAACGAACGTGATCAAGATGGTTCGTTTATACAAGCAATTTTCTGGGCTTACCGAAGTGCAGTCTTTGAGTTTGCAATAGCTAAAGACGTATTAATTATAGACACGACATACAAAACAAACAGGTTTTTTTTTAATTTCAACCTCTTGTAGAGATTGTACCTGGTTGTAAATTTTATACTGAGTATAATTTTTTGCCGGGTATAATCTCTAAACATTTGCAATTTTATTTTATTAATTTATTATTATTTTTTTTTTTCTTTAACGGGCACTTATTTATTTATTTATTATTATTATTATTATTATTATCTCTTTAACGGGTCACTTATTTATTATTTTTATTTATTTATTTTAATAGATTTTCAATGCCAATGATTGTTGTTTGCAGTATCAATCGATTCAGATCAACATACCCTTTAGCTTTTGCACTCGTTTATTCAGAGATGAAGGAATTTTATAGTTGGGTATTACAACAGTTATGTAAAACACTAACTATTTTGACGGGTGACTCGAATGTAACAATGATTATAACTGATCAAGAGTTGGCTCTTATGAGCTCAATATCTACTGTATTTCCTAATACAAAACATCAATTATGCATTTGGTATATTTTTAGAAATATGAGAAAAAAGCTTAAGAGTATTGATATGGATGAATTTATTAAAGTAATTCAAAAACTTATGTATGACGATCTTTCAGAACATCAAACAAATCAAGAAATTATAGAACTATGGGACTGATTTCCAAGTACAAAAAAGTATATGTGTGATACGTGGATACTATACAAAGAAAGTTGGCTTGCATTGTATACAAAAAAAATATAAACCTTAATCTTAGGACAACTAGTCGTGTTGAAGCTCTACATAGCAAATTGAAAGGTGTTGAAAATTGAGTAACATCTATTGATAGATAGGAAATGAAATAAAAATTTGTTAGATGCTAAAATTCAAAAAGCAAATTGCAATATCAATATTACTTGTTATTAATTATGTTTTTGAATTTCAGCACCAAACTTTTTTATTAATTATACCATAGTTAAATATAGCATTAATAGAGACTGGACTCGTCAACTTGAAACTCAAATTATGACTCGAGTATTAATATTTTTAATTAATGACTAGACTTGAGTCATTCGAGTCACGAAATTTATTGAAAAATGGTATAAATTAAAACTAAATATATTTAATTCTCGAGTAACTCAAGTCATTATTTGAGTTTTGAGTTGACGAGTCCAGCCTCTAAGCATTAGTTAACTGCAAATTTTAACACATTTGATTTTTATTATACTGTATAATAGATTACTTGCGATAATGTGGCAACAGCACCATGAAAACTCTTAAAAGTTTTTATACAAATTATTTGTACATCAAAATAGACATACACAAGATGATAAAGATATAGATTTGAAAATGTTACGTACAGTATGCTCACGATTTGTATTTGAAACCTATGTAAAGCAACAAAAAGATCTTGTAAGATCTGGAGAATATAGAGTTTTGAAATTCTGCGATAATATATATGAGGTTATACAATTAGATGATGAGGTAAGTATAACACATATGGTGCATATTGGAACACCAAGTACTTGTACATGTATGCATCTACAGCATACTAGAACACCATGCCAACATGTAATTGTGGTATATCTATTGTGTTTGCATACTCACGTTCTACCAAGTGAAATTCATCAACGTTGGTATGTGCAACATAATGCAGAAGTTGATCGTATTCTACAGCTTGCTACTAATATTTTCAAAAAGTTGCCAAAATGTCACCATGATGCATTATTGAATATTATGCAAAGTGCTTTGAAATATATTCTCGAAGATGGCAAAATACCAAAGCTACAAAAAGATTTAAATATTTTACAGCATAATAATTTGAATACTACTAATGTTGATGATATTACGAACTATGAAGAAATTAAAATGTCTGCAGTCAAACATAGTCGTAGTCATCCTCCTAACAACAAGTATATTCTTGGAGCTAATGAAATTATGATTAAAAAAAAAAAAATTAAAAAGGATATAGCATTGTCATATCTAACTGATACTGGTATAGAACTTGATACACGTATTTCTCAAAATACAGTATTACAGGTATGTACAAACATATATATATATGTCAATTCGTTCCTTAATAAGTATTTAATTTAGTAATTGGTTTGCTAAGATTAGTTTTTATAACTATCAAAATTAGTTTTTTATAGCTTGCGAAACTACTTACTAAACTGTTCTCTGACTAATCCATCCATGTTGTTTCATTTTTTATTTGTTATCCTACCACTAAATATATTAGATTATTTATTTATGACTAGGTATTAGTATACCATATTTTCGTGAAATAACATCCACTTATGCGTTATTTTAAGTATATTGCATTAGAGTATATGCATAGGGGCATTGTTTTGAGACAATGATACGATTTTTACCTAAATGCTAAGTATTAGTTGAAATCCTTATATAGGTGCACGTTATTTTGGGACGTGCATGGATATTATTTTGAAACCATGTATGCTATTTTTAGGGGGTACAATTTTCTAGATAATGTCCATGCCCGTTATTCACGAAAATATGGTATTCAATTTCTCTACATATTTTAATCTTTAGTAGAGTTACGTGGATGGCAGAGGATAAATTAGCTATGCCCTGTATAATTAAGTATCTATGAAAATTTACCGAGAAAATATATTGGCTGCAAATGGCTAATATATTTTCTTAGTAAATTTTTGCTTATATATAATTGCTTAAAATATAACTACATAGCCACAAAATAATTTGAACACATATAATTGTAGGTGCACAACCCACTTGGCGATGGTCATTGTGGTTTTCGGTCACTATCTGTAGCTTTGTTTCAAGAAGAAGAGAAATGGCAAGATGTTAAGATTACTATGAAATCTCAGTTGGCTAAGCAGCAATATTTATATAATAACACACTTGGATACGATACTAAGCGGTTGATGACTGTTTTAACAAGGATGTACACAAAAGTACTGGTTTTATGTACCTAAGTACGCATAGCTGGCATCAGATACATTTAATGTGCCAATAGTAGCATTTGGTAAGGATTCAACATCGAGTCTCCTTTTTTTACCATTTGATCAAAAACCTGGGCGTCACAAAAAACCTGTTATTTTGCACTGGCATGGGCATAGTCATATTGTATTGGTTAAGCTCAAACAAAATAAGAGCATACAGGTTCTGTCTTTAAATCCTCAGTATTTATCTATTTGTCATCGTTTAGGCTTTTCTGAAGATTGGTATAATCTCTTTGTTTAGATTTATGTGTTGTCTTACTTGTTTTTTTTGTTAAGACCTTTATGCCTAGAAATGTTGCATTTGCATAATTTATTTGAATTTCAGCTTAATTTTGAAGCTAATAATAATTTAGCATTATAAAAAGGTAATGTATATTGTAAAATGGTTTGCAGGTGTAAAAATTCTTATATCTATATTGAGAATGCAAACAAGAGATGAAGCGACTTTATTTATTTATTTATTTATTGTATAACTGCTTGTTTCATAATTGTAATAAATTCCAAAATTCTACATAACAAAATAACAATATGATAGTATTGTAATTAATTGATTAATTAATTCTGCGACCTGTATCTATATACATGATTCTGACCAATGACCAGGAAATCAGCTAAGACAATTTTTTGTCCTGGTCAGCTGTTTCTTTTAAAAAAAAAATCGGCTGGTCAATTTTATATGCACATATTAAAAAAAAAAAAGGTTGTCGCTATTCATATATATTGGCCTGATCAACCGAAATTTATCTGCTTGGTCAAAAAATTTTTTGATCACGATCACTAATTGAAATATTTTAAGTATTTGACGTGCTGAAATATTTTAATAATTTCATAAAAAAAAAAACAATTATCCGCTTATAAATTTTGATGTATATGAAACTGATGTACGCAAATTATTGTCGAATTTTGGTATGAAAAAGGACGCTGCGATTTTATTGGTCAAAAAAAATTGATGTATACGAATTTGATGTACGAAAATCATTCGCCTAATATATCCTGCAGTTTACTATGTGTATGCTGGTTAAACTAAATAATGCTGGTGAAACTGGTGACTCTCTAAAATCTGATTGGCTGTTATATTAAATTTCACCAGTTTCACCACTATTCACCAAGAGTTTCACCAGTTTCACCAGCATCTATAGTGTAGTTACGTACTAGTTTCACGAATTAAATATCAAACATAATAATATTAGGGGAATTTACATATAAGGGCCCAAGAGATCAAAGTGAAAATAATTACATATGAGTGCGGCTAAAAGAAAACCTCGATCTTGTTTTTTTGATAAGCTCAGCCATGATCTGAAACATATGTATCACATATGTTTTGGACCACGGCTGAGTTTATCAAAAAAACAAGATCGAGGTTTTCCCTTAGCCGCATTCATATAAGGGACCAAAATTTGAAAAATATTACAATTAAGGGCTACGTTATGACGATAATGGTTCTTTGAACATTATCACTGTATATATGTGTTAACTTACTATATCCTCTATCGTTTAATGAACTTTCTTTTAACCAAGATATAGGTCGACTAGGTGAAGCACAATATTTATCAATTTATTCGGTTCTAAACTGAAAGTCTATCCTATACCAAGACTAGTTATGAAACATGGATCACATTTCATAAAGGTTACTACGTGTTAATTGAAGATATTTGGTTTCAAAAACTTACTGTATTCGTAGAGAAAGTTAAATTACTTTTAGAAGTTGGTAAAAATAGGTCTAATGTTACATGCAAGACGCTAAGCAATAGTGATTAAAAAGTAATATAGTCGATTCTGGTTATAACGAACTTTTCTATAACGAACTCTGGATATAATAAACTCAAAAATTTTTGAAAGTTCGGTATAAAAGGTGGCATGGGTTCTTAAGAAAACAAAGTACTTTCCTTATAACGAACTTTTTTTTCTTCAGTTCGTTATAGAAAGAGTTGACTGTACGTTTTAACTATTGAAGAAAATTACATCTATATTTTTAAATGTTAAAAATTTGCAATCTAATTAGTCACGATAAATTTGGACCCTTGATTGTAATATTTTTCAAAATTTGGGCCTTAATATAATTATTTTCATTTTCGGGCCCTTATATGTAAATTCCCTTAAATATTAGATAACTTATTTATCATGACTAATAACGATAAATCTGCATTTTTATTTATAAAATCTAATTATTACATTTTCAAATTTGTTTTCAAAATGATTTTATTTTCTTCGTTTTGCTAATGCATAAGATATAAGGTCTATTGTCTTTAAACAAAATGACTCATTTATATTAGAATTCGACATATATCAAAGGCTCGAAAGGGGTATCCTATAGTAAAATTGCACGAGAACTTTTTTTGTTGTTAGAGCCCCAAAGGCAGTTTACTAGTATAAGTTTTGAGATAATACAAAGCGAACATTTGGTTTATGTTCTGATTTTTAATTATTGTAATACATTTCGTTAATGTTTACATGTTTGCTTTATAAAAAAAAATAATAAAGAATTCTATAATAATTTATTATAATTGTAATAAATATTGATACATTAAATATGTTATAGATATATTCAAATAAATTTTAAAATAAAAATTATATATACATAATTCTTTTTAATATACATTAACATTCGTAGATAAATAAAAAACCACTACTTTTATATATTAAAGATCAATTATTATATTTGAAACTAACATTTGTACTAAAATATTAATAATATTATCAAAGATAAAATTTATGTTTGCTAAAAAAAAAATCACTTGCAGCTCCAGGAGATGTAAACATTCTTTAGCTTTTTCATGGCTAATGCTTTTTCTTACAATATTTCTCCCTTTCGGCCAATTATACATATCAAAAGTAGAATACCTAAACAATGAACCTGGGATTACCATTATCAGAACCAGTAATTTTCCTAAGTCAAACCAAGATCAGCTCTTCGACTCGCATAGAGGTTATTCTTCTTTCAAAAAACTAACAACAGAAGTAGAACATCTGAGCAATTAATCTAAGATTACCATTGTCAGAACTTAGTAATTCTCCTAAGTTAAACCAAGGTCTCCTCAGCTTGCTTAGGAGTTGCTTTTTTTCAAAATAAAAAAAAATAACACTTTCTTTAGTTCCTCGAAAATATTATCAAATATTTTTTTCACTTCGTTCAGGAAACACATCCACATACCATCGAGTTCTTTCCAACTATTTGAAATGATTAAATTAATAATCTTATTATAGTTCTTGTAAAGAAATCTGTGATAAATTACTTTATTGTTTTGTTCCCTCAAATAAAAGACAAGCCAAAATGCTAATGCATTTTTAATATTTTCAGATTCATTTTTTCACAATTTGCTCGCAAACTTAGAGATGATATGACTAATTTGCACCTATTCCTTGAGCATATTTAAAAGCTTTTAAAAAACTTTCTTCATAATAAGGTTGACTCTTTTCAGATGAATCAAAGTGGAATTCGAATGATATAACGTTAAAAAACCAGTTTTTGGGTAATAAACGAAGTAACAATTGAAGTGTCTCAGATATATTCTTAATAGGTCTACCTCCCATTAAACCAGGCCTATTACAATAAGATTTATTAATAACGCAGTATAATATAATGTAATAACATTTATTATTATATATATTTTGAACTTTACCTATCAATCACAAAAATTAATTCTGGTATTATTTTATTAATAACAAACTTTGGTACTATGTTAGCATAATGCAATTAGTTTCAGTCTTAGGGTTGTATTCAACAAAAATCCTAAAAAAAAAAATACAATTAATTAAGAGATAAATAATATAATGCTAAAGGCATCATTAGCATCATTACCTTTGCTAATCGAGACCAAGACTTTTAACAAGTATAAAATCTTTTTTTAAATAAGTAATTCGCTCAGCTAGAGTAATCTTTGAAACATGAGAATTACCATCAATATTTAATTCAGTTGAAATATGATGAGACGATGATTCGAATAACAGAAGTTATTTACATATAATAGTAAGCTCTAAATAATCAGCCTTTTCTGAATAAGATACTTTATTAGGAGTAAGTTTTTTTCCATCATTTGTAGGAGAATAACCGGATGAACCATATCGTGAAGCAATGACAGTGGGAAAACAAATCGAACCTTTCCAGATTCAGCATCATGCTTTAGTTCGGTTACATATTAATTCAATAATAACCGTTTGACCAGCCATGATATTACCAACGGTGCATTAGAAAACATCTGGGAACTGTTCTTCAAAAAGATAAATCCAATGACCTTGCTGCATAAACAAATATTATGTAGATATTGTGTAAGCAAATTGTGTATATATGTGCAACGGATTGGATATAATTATTTCATGTTACTAGAATAGCCTTATCATATTTCTTCACAGTTTCTTTGCTTCTTTGACTATTACTTTACCTTTTTTTTTCAGCTTTAAAAACACATGCTGCTTCGATCATATTCTGTTCAATATTTTTATATGCCTGACAAATCGTTGCTAGATCAAAAAAGTGAGGATATTAATTAAACTAAATATGATAAAACTAAAATTATATTTAAATAAGTAAATTAATTACTTTCTGCTATTACTGTATATCAATGGCTAATCAAATTTAAAAAGAACATTAGAGACATAAAACATATATGCAGTAAATTATATGCATAAAAAGAAATTTTACCGTTCGTCTCAACAGAAATATTTTACAAAGAGGATGGGCATTGGAAGATTCCCTACAATGGAAATGAACCCGTATAGTTGCATCTTTTAATAAACGAGATTGAATTAAAATCATTTTTGTTGTTTGATAAAGCTGATTCACACTGTATTACATTTTGCGCAATATTTTTAACTTCAATTATGCCAACTACATTAGATGTATGAATTGAAATATAAAGGAAAATCAATAGGGCCATGACCGTTGGGTCTGAAACGTTTCTTCCCGAAAAGATCTGAAATTTATTTCCCAAAAGATTTGTAGCAACAAGATATGTATATGTTCCGCATCATTACGGAATTTAGGTTGATCTGGAATTGGCACGTGTCATTTGTGAATCGTGAAATGAAGTAGGTCGTTTTAGAATCGGTATCCATTTACCGACTAAAAAA